ATGGACAAAATCGATGATCCAAGGGCACCTTCAAGGCTTGCTTTGAAACACTATCAAATAAATTAAGTGAATTGGGGGTACCTCGCACGGAACCAACAGGTTTGATGCACTATCGTAAAAACTTGAGCGGCACTTTCGCGACTACATGTATAGTAGCGACCTCGGTAGAGCGACAAAAATTTAGGGTTCGATTGTCACGGACTAATGTCACTAATGACTCATCCGTACCAGCACGGTCGCCCGTAGACTCAAGTTCCGCGTTAGGCCTCGTTAGGCACCTCTGGAACCCTCATGACGTCAGCACAACTATCCCACTTCCTACACTATTCAAATCCACCACAATTATCACTGGAAACAGGCCTACTACTTGTTCTCACTGTAATGGCGTGTTTAAGGCCAGGCTTGCGCAGATTCAACGATACCCACTACAACGGAGACGCTTCAGAGACACCCAGGACACTCAGCACCGTTAGCAATGCAGATACAGTAGCAAATTGTCTCCACTGCGACAGCACATACCAAGTCCGCATCGGCCTGTCGAGACATCAGAGAATCCATCACAGGCTGACTAGAAAACCAGGGCATCGAATCCAAGGTGACACCCGTCATGGACATCTTGACTGTCCACCGTCCAGTCATACGCAGACACCGAATAGGTCTAGTTAACCATGTGCGCATACATAAGAATGGCTAGCAAAGTAACATCGTCCAGGTCTCCGTGAGAACCATGAAACATGCCACAGCGCCTATGTAATCATGTAATGCTATCTTCTAATGTCCCCATTAGGAACGAAACGTTGCAGGCGAGATAATGAACAGAGAAGACTGTGTTTTGGTGGGCTGAGCATGCATAATGAGGTAGCAGCGCGTGTGAAAAGAAGCCTTCACGTCGCGTCAGCCAGTGTCTCAGTCTGTTGCACACTTCAGATAGGCTGCTGTAGGGAAATCACGATCCTGAGGCGACCCTTCTAATGGCTAATCGGCGCAGTTCTCATTATAATAAATCTGACGCTCTTAAAGGCATCA